CATCGGTGCATGGAATGCATTCGATGTTTCAATTTATTCATTGATGCATCGATGCATGGTATTGATGCATCGGTGCATGCCTTTGAAAAATTGATTTAAGGCTTGATTTTGGTTTAAAATACTTTGAAAAATTGCTTCAAAAATAGTTTAAGTACAAATCACAATTTTACACATTTAGTAAGGATTAAAATTGATCTTCAAAGACTTGGAGTAATAATTTGATATTCGATAAATTGAATCGAATATAAATTGTAAAATCATTTGTAAAAATCTTAAAATTCATTTAACTTAATTTGTTATATCGAAATATCAAAAATGTTTTAACAACATCGAATAATTATTTTTATAATATTTTAATCTTTGAAAATTAATAACATGATTCCAATGTCTTAAAACTAAAATATTTATGATGGAAAATTTTTACGAAAGAATGTTCACACATCAAAACATGTAATTAACTAACACATTAAACACATCACTAAATAAATTGTCTTTATTAAGCAAATATTAAGAAATTTAGTTATCATTTTATGATTAATTTATTTTAAGAATGTAATTGTAATTGTATTTAGAATATAATTATTAATTGTATCATTGAGCTAAGCTAATCATTTAGGTTATTTGCATTATATTTTGTATTTAACTTATATAATAGCATCACCACAAAATAAATATTTTTCAATGATTATAAGATTCAAATATCTGACACTTTAAATTAATGAACAAAAGCTTAGCCATTCAACAATACTACAAATCCTTTTTATACTGAATTTAATACTTAAATCATTATTAAATTAAAAATTAATTTTTTACTTTATTTAGCAATAAAAATAATTAAATAATTTATATATTTTTATAAATTTTATATTAAATTATTCTAAAAAATATATCTATAATACTATAAAAATATTTCAAAATATTTGCTTAATTTTTAAAATCATATTATTTTAAATAATATTAATTAATTATTTAAAATAATATTAATTTAAATTATAATTTTTAAATTTAAATAATATTGTATGAAACTAAATATATAATTTAAAAATAATATTATTTCTAATAAATAATATAATTTTAAAAATTAAATAAAAATTTTATAATACTATAAATATACATTTTAGAATGATTTAATATAAATTATAAAAATATATAAATAATTTAATTATTTTTATTTTAAAATAAAGTAAAAAATTAGTCTTTAATTTAAAAATGATGTAAGTATTAAGTTTGGCTTAATAAAAATATATTCACAGTATAGTTGAATACCTAAACTATTGGTCATTAATTTAATGTGTCACATATTCGAATTTTATAATCATTGAAAAATATTTATTTTATTGTGATATCATTATATAAGTTAATACGAAATGTGGCGAAATTAAATCAAATGATTTGTCTAACTTAGTGTATGTGTCTCTTGCATCTCATGCAAGTGGTCGAAGTTTAATTCATGTTGGGAGCAAAAATTAAGATTTTATTCATTTTATCCTCATAAGTGGTGACTTGTGGTACTACCTAATTGATTGAATAAGATTAATTAAAAAATTTGATGAAGAAAGTGAAATGTGACGTGAAAATTTAAGTACTAAAACATAATAAAAGTAATAATTTAGGTGCTAATCATATAATTTACATAAAATTGAGAATTTAATAATATTTAAACTACAATTAAAATTAAAATTTTGAAATAAATTATGATCATTGGTTTTTTTTTTATATTTACTTAATAAGAACAATGAGTGATGTGTTTTGATATGTCGCATATATATTTTAATGTGCTAAACATCAGAGTGTTTTTTTTTTATCTCCGTGGTTAAAATAAGAACTTACATAATTTGAATATGTGATGTTAAATTGACTCAAACAATTGGCCACTTATAATAGAAACGAAGGCGTCTCTCACTCGAGAGTTGTGACTACTGCTTTGGCTGCTTCTCATCTCCCTCGTTCTTGGCCGCTGCTTTAATCTCATCGGTTCCATCATCCTAATTATTGAAATATTATCGTTATTAAATTCGATAAATAAATGGGAGAAGGAGTTTATTTAAAACTAAATCCACCTGCAGATCGGAGGTCCAGAGAGTGAGATTGTCACGGAGGAGTTGCATAATGAGATTGCTGTCTTTGTATGATTCTTCGCCTAAAGTATCCAATTCTGCTATTGCTTCATCAAATGCCTATAACCAATCAAAATCCAACACGTCAATCAAAAAGTAGGATTATATTACAACTTTATTTTTAGATTAAACGAAAAACAATGGTGAATTTGTAAGCTACCTTTTTCGCGAGGTTGCAAGCGCGATCAGGAGAATTCAGAATCTCGTAGTAGAAAACAGAGAAATTAAGTGCCAGTCCGAGTAGGATTGGGTGAGTTGGGGGCAACTCGGCGGTTGCAATGTCCTGAGAAACGGAAAAAAGTTAGCAAAAACAAAACTCTTAAGGATTATCGAAGAAAATAAGGGAAGAATTTACTTGAGCAGATTTGTAAGCATTGAGAGTACTCTCAGCATCTTCCTTGCGTTCGGCTCCAGTCTTGAACTCGGCCAAATACCTATGATAATCTCCCTTCATCTTAAGATAAAAGACCTTGGAATCTCCAGAGGAAGCCGAGGGGATGAGCCTTTTGTCAAGAAGCTTCAAGATGCCGTCACAGATTGAGCAGATTTCCGATTCGATCTTGGATCGATACTCACGGATTTTAGCGACGTGATCCTCGTTACCGCGACTCTCCTCTTTCTGCTCGACGGAAGAGATGATCCGCCAGGAAGCACGGCGAGAGCCGATCACGTTCTTGTAAGCAACGGACAGTAGGTTGCGTTCCTCGACGCTGAGTTGCTCGTTATCGGCGTAAGCCGATACTTTCTCCATGAACTGGACCATTTCATCGTAGCGTTCGGATTGCTCGGCGAGCTTTGCCAGGTAGACGTGTTCCCCGCGAGTAGAAGGAGTCTTGGTCGCCAATGTGGAAATTTCGAATCAATGCAAGGGAAAATTTGCTTTCTTTCTTGTTTTTGAAAATTTGTAAGTGAGATTTGTTAGGGGTGGGAGAAACTAGGGGATTGCGTTGGAGGAAGGGAGGGGAGGAAAAGGTGGGATCAAATGTCGACCGTTAGAGTTTGGAGGAAAAAAACACTATTATGGTCAGCTCAAACCCCAGTCTTCTGCGTTTCTGAGCCAATGGATGAAGGCAAAAAGCTTCACTGTTGGGTAACAAATTGTTTTTTATTTAAATAACATTAAATTGTAGATTTTATTGTAAAATAATTAGTGCGTTTTTTAATTAGAGAAAATTAATAGATAATATTTTATTTAATATTATAATTAAAATTTCATTTTAATATTTTTAAATAATAATTTTAAAACTTACAAATAATTTTTAATATAAGAATTTTTTTCTAAAATTAAAAAAAATATTCAAATTATAATTTTGAAAAAATATTTTATAAATAAAAAAATTATTTTTATTTTATTTGGTTCTTAAGTTCTATTTCTTAAAAAAAATTCAAGTTAAAATTATTTTTTATTAAATTTGAATCACATTATATTCAACAACTTTAAAATACATGACAAAAATGAAGAGTTATATTATATTGAGCTTGAACCAAGCCAAAAATATATATATTTAAGATTATAATAGTAATTCAATTTTAAATGCGTTAATAAATAATAATTCTAAAAAAATATTATTTTAAAATTTTAAATAATTAAATTATTTTTTAAGGAGAAAATATTTCAACATTTCATATTCCAAATCAATGAAATGCCACATATTTCATCAATAATCGACACTTATTTTTATCAATAAATAATTGTACAAATAAATTGAATTAAACCCAGAGTTGGATTGTTGTTATTGTATCAATGACAATTGTATGTCAGGAGTATGTTCATGTTAGACCATTGACAAAACTCATATTATTCAAATGTAAGTATCAAATTTGAATTTAAGAGTGAAAAAAGGTGGACAATGAAGAGCAATAAACTCATCAAGATTGTACAATTTTGAATGTTTCATTTGGCAGGGGTAACTGTTGTTCCCTTTTAGGTTTTTGGGCTTTCAGATGTAATGGCAGTGGCACCTCCTTCTGTTTCTGTGGTGGTTTGCTGTTCGGTATGTGAATCTGCAACTAAAATTAGTTATTAAAAAAGTTTGATAATAACAATTTAAGGCTACCATGTTTCAATTCTTTAATTTCTTATGAAGTATTTGTGTGCAACGAGTGTAAAGATACCATCTTCTAAATACATAAAAGTCTTTGAATATATGATCTTCTAAAAGATGATGATAAATATGGGGATCTCCATGTTTGCATATATATATATATATATATATATAAGCAATGATAGTGCATAACATGGCTAGTGGGGCTCTCCATATTTGCAGGAATGAGTCATTATCCCAGCTATATACCGAAACCACACTATGCTCCTCCGTCATTACTTTCTATGGATCAATCATTTGGGCCAATGTCAACAACTCTGTAAAAATCACATAGTTCATTCACAGGTTCGAGCTTATTCGTATTTATGTTATTCGAACTCTGATGTGAATGTCTTATACGAGTATATATCCCAGTGGTTGCGAATGTAACAAATACTAATGTGATGAATTGCAGTAAATTTTTGAGGAATAATATCGGAAGAAAGATTTACCTGTGGAGGAAGGAAAGAGACGGGTAGTGAGATGAAAGGGAGGATATGAGGGGGAGGAACCCTCCATGGGAGAAGGGTAGTAAAGGTAGGAAGGTCCAAGGAAACGTTGAGCCTGTGGTGCAGAAAATGTTCCCCTTGGAGCTTGCAGAGAATACCCATAATAATATGGGGACCCCATTGGTGATGATGATGATGATGGCCCATTCAGCTGATGATAGTATTGTGGCTGCCGAATTTTTGGATTATAGAGCGTCTGCAATGTCACCACTATTCATTAACAATACGGCTTAACATTGAAGAAAAAAGAAACATAGGAATGCTTTTTTCCCCCTGAGAAAATTGGTAGAGAAAGAGGTTCGATCACTTACTTGGTGATACCCATATTCAGCACTGTAAGTTGGGTACCTGTCAAGGCATTCATCAAAAACTCCATACATACAAACAAACACTTATGATCGAATGTGTTTGACGTAAGTGAAAGGTACTGTAAAGCCAATGAAGAGGTGCTGGTCTATTCTTGTATTGGATCTTTAATTAAATTGGTCCGTACACAATGAAAATGACAACTGTAAATGAGCTGGATCATTATTTCAAGTTCTCTTGGCAGATGAAGACAATGATCAACAATTTAATCACTATAACCTCTATTTTCATATCTTAATATCCATATATGAAATATAGTATATAAATATTTCAGATAAAAAGAAGAGTCAGAACATATTCTTTTAAATTACAATAAACAAATAGAAAGTAGACAACTCACGACATAGTAATTAACAGGCTAAGAATGGGTCCCTCCGTATAAACTCATATATGTAACATCAGTTGGGGGCCATTTTGATAATACAAATTTGAGCACTATAAAAGCATAGCGATACTTTCTCTTCATCTTTCAGGATTTCATAAATGATTAACTCACTATATTCTCGTTTACCGTATAAGAATTGAACTAGATTATAAAGATGGCTTAATATACATTATTAATATGTAGAAGCAAAAAGATGAACTAATTCCTTCAGTGAAAACAATAATCGAGCACTCACCCATATAGCGGATAAAAAGACAGTAGGGGGCGGCGGCGGCACTGGTGCTGCAACTCCACTATAAGACGGTGCACCTTGCTGTACAACACCCTGATAAGGGTTAGTACCTTGAATTCTTCCTGCATATCAATCCACCATTTCCGATTCATTATCGTCATCGTCTAGTTACTCGAATTCGGTTGTGAACGTATACAACACCCGTATTCGAGTATGTTACCGGAGCAATATAGATTTGGGGAGTACCTCGTGGCGGTGAAGGTCTAGGCCTTCCGAGTGACGCAATGTTACAATTGGCTTTTCTTCCATCGATTACAGGATTTGGATCAACGCAAGCCTTCCTAGCTGATTCAGGATCACGAAAAGTGACCTACGAAAAAACATCCATCCTATTCAGATACATAGGTACATATACATATGAGGAAGATATAAGAGAAAACGTACAAAGCCATATCCTTTAGATTTGCCAGTGTTTTTATCACTGATGATAACAGCTTCAAGAATCTCTCCGAACTGTTGAAAGTAACAGCGCATTTTCTCAGCTGGGGTCTCCCAAGCCAATCCCCCAACAAACACTTTCGTCAACGTTGTGTCACCGAAAGGTGATCGATAAAATGGATAAACCATTGCATCTAAACAAACAAAACAACAAACATGTAACTTCCCTTTTGCATTAAACTACACTTTCTTTTTCGGATTATGTTTTACAGTCGACGAGATCCAAGTGAGTTGAATCCTCTGCGATTCCAGTCCATGATCTTCATCATCCCCTTTGCTCTCTGCTCCACAATACTCTTCTTTTCATACATTTCCAAGGGCACACCTATCCAATTTTATTGCAAGGAAAGAAACATTTGGAAATGGTATGAGAATGAGAGGAAGGCGAGTTTAAAGATGTTATGGGAAGTTAATTGACTGTTGTCATTATTGCAAAAGGGAGTGAGAGAAAGGAGAGACCAGACAGCTGCTAACGTTAATTTGTTGTCTATATGAGATATCGAGAGAGGGGAAGTAGGGATGCAAACGGGTACAGTTTCGTGGATTCTGTACCGTATTCGCTTCAATTGGAGCGGGGATGGGTATAATTTTAGCGGGTAGTAGGCGGGTGTGAATTTATAAAGTGGTACCCGTCGTGGGTGGTGGGCGGGTAATGGGTTTGAGACATTACCTGCCCCGCATCCGCCCGTCCAGCTAAATATCTATTAAATTTTGAACCATTATGAATTTAGGTGTAATTTTAGAGACTAATTTATAAATTTTAATATTGTATAATATATAACATATAATTTAACCAAATATTAAGGATATTTAGTCTTTAATTTGGTCTTTAATTAGGGAAATATTCGGTTATTTGATTAAACCCATAATCCCACTAACCACGTCATTTTCCATGTTCTTTAGCCCATGCTGCCCATCCAAACACAAATTAGCCGTACTATATGCATTAACATCAAAAGCAGCAGTTTCTATGTTCTTTAGTCCCTCAAAATCCATATTAGGCGCACTATGAGCATTAACATTGAAAGCAACTCAACAATCCAGCTCTGTGACTACATGCTCCCTACAATCTGTCTCCATAACATTCGTAGAGCCACTCCTCTGACAAATTGAAGCATGCGTTGCTACCCCATCACGAACTGTCTGGGAACCAACTCCAACATCCCATTAGTTTGCTGTCAGGCGAGTCTAGATGGGTATGTCGCTAGTTGGTAGTGGATGTGTGGATGGATTTGAAAATATACTTGCGTGGGTGGGTGTGAATTTGAAAATTTGTACTCATCATGAGTGGTGGGCGGGTGGTGAATTGAAAAATATTAGGTGGGTATGAGGATGGGAGAGAGGGTATCCGCACCCGACCCGCCCGTTTGTCATCCCTAATGGGAAGAAGGGAATGGGGTTGGGGTCATAAAATAAGAATGACAGCTCCGTCACCCAATGTACTTATTACTGTCTTTGAAATTTAATTTTTTTTTTGTTATAATATATGAGTAATTTGAATCAATATTAATTAAAGTATTTTCAGATAATATTAATAGTAAGAACAACTTTGATTTCTGGTCCATATTTCCTTGGGACAATATAAGAAACAGACTTGCACGCACTGGCGGAGCCTCTAGTAATCAAAATAATCATCATTGAATTTGGAAGCACCTCTTATATAATATAAGTACCACATAAAATACGATAAAGAAATATAAAACAAAATAAATGTATAAATATTTCAAATCATGTGTGGTACGGGTTATTAATGTATCATATTTTTTTTAAAAGATGATCAATTAATAACAATTATAGTATATGAATATTTAGGTCTCCAATAGACCCACTTCTTCCACTAAATAGATTGAAATTACAACTTCGTGTTCAAGCAATAAGAGTATATATATAATATAAGCTTTTATCTATGAATGATAAGTGATTTATTTAGTTAATATTTTGTGTCTAAAATGCATTTAAAGGGTATAATTCTACATTTTTTTATTTTTTGAATCAAAGTTGAATTAGTGGGCATGACTTTGGACATAACACATCTAACGTGACATGATGTCAGCACCTCCGGAAGGTCCAGTCAACGCTTCTAAAATGACGAATGGATCAACACCCGTTTTAAAGTTCGAATTGAAGATTATCCCAAGTTTTTAGGATTTTAGTTTAATTAATTCAAGAATTATTTTTAAGATTATTTTATTATTATTCAATGTTTATTTTAAGAGTTTTAGTTTAAGAATTATCTTTAGGATTTATCTCTTTATTTTAGGAATTATCTTTTCCTTGTTTTTAGGATTTTGAAGGCTATAAATACCCTATCAGGGTATGCCTAAAGACACATCTCTACAACTCATATTTAAATCTTTTTATTGCTTCTGGTTTTATAAAGTTCTTCTTTATTTTGAAAGTTCACGTTTTTATTTTGTTTCAAGTTTTATTTTTAAAATATGATAAGTATGATTTTTGTCATGCTTAGCTAATTTTCTTTTAAGCCGAAGGCTAAAGTGATGACTCAATTCCAAATGTGAGAATTGTAAGACACTTAAATTGTTTCAGATATCTCTCTCTGTTTTCTGGGCTTATTTTCAAATCAAAACAATTTTCATAACCAAAAAGACGACGTTGGTCTGGTTGTTGTTATGATTAATGTGGGAGGAATGATCAACTTATTGAAGCACATTCAACTTCCTAAGAACACACTTAGCAAAATTGTTTGCTAAGAGGAAATTGCACTTTAAGATCTACAACAATGATGTTGCTTAGATCAATCCACAAACTGATATTTAAGATTCCACTTGGGTATTCGGTATACAAAGCATAGTCATGAGAATTTATCTTTGTAGACAAGTAATCGGCGTGAATCCTGAAGTAAAAATCTATTTCAATGATCTGAGGAAACTGAGTCAAAGCTGAAAGTCTTAGGCTGCTTTTTACAATAAGTCTTCTTTTCAAACTCTAATTATTATTTTATTCTATTTATTTTTTATTTTCCTTTATCTTAACTTCAAACAGTTTTTCAAAACCCCCTATTTATCTTATTCTTATCTCACATTACATTTTTATATATATTTTTATCTTAAATTTCATCCCCATCCAAACTCTACCATTCAGACACAAAAAGATAACTAAATCAGAAATTACAGAGTCTCTGTGGGACCTACCCTTACTTTCCACTTGCTATATTTTCTTTATATTTTTTTGGTATTAATGAATTATTTTGACACGAAAACAACATACGTGAATGAAATTTTATCCACAAATAAGAAAGGTTATGTATAAGTGAAGCATATTTTGTACTATATAGATTTTAACATATTTTTATCTATGTATTTAACGTTATGAGATTTATGAATATATTATCCCCACTGTAGACACTAAATTGTTGTCTCTTTATTATTATTATTATTATTATTATTATTATTATTATTATTATTATTATTATTATTATTATAAATATTATTATTATTATTATTATTATTATTATTATAGGCCCAATTGCATCAAATTCGGAGGCCCGGAACAGATTCAGACCTGATCCTAGGCCCAGATCCCGGTTGACCCGACACCTGACCTGGTCCAACAATAACCCTAAACCCAACTAGGGTTTCATCATCTCAACTCCAGCAGCCAGTGAGTGTAGCCGTTGGATCTAGGGAGATCCAACGGTATTAATGCTTCCATCCAGAAAACCCTAGGGTATCACAACCCTAGGGCCACGGGTCGCTACCTCTGTTGCCACCAATCGCTGCAGACGCCCCGTTGCCATAACGTCTCACCGAAGACTCCAGAAGCCGCAACTGCCCCTTCATGTTAAAGCCCTAAGGTGAGCCACCACTATAGTTTGGTGACTCATCGAAAAATCCCTCCTTTACCCGGTTCAAGAGAGACACTGTGGTGGCTATAAAAACCACCGATCCTGCAGAGAAGGAAAAAAATAGAAACAACAAGGAAGAGACGAACCAAAACAGTGAGCAAAACACGAAGACATACATAGAGAGCAATCATCGAGCAACCAAGGAAAAAATATCAGAAAAATAAAGAAATGAAGAGAAGACTTACCTGCAACCGTTAGTCTTCAAACCGTCACTAGAGACATTTCAATCGAGGTAAAAGCTTCTGTTTTCTTTAGATCTAGGGTGATCTAAAGGTTCTTAGGGGAAAAGACTGTCGGATTCGGCTTTAGAGAGAAAAAGGCTTCGATTTGATATAGTTGGGTGAACTCCGGCCACCGTGGATGGTGGTCGGTGGTGGATGTCGGTGGTGGTTCACAGCAGTCGGTCGATGATCGCCGTCCCTCCGGTGGAGGATTTTAGAGAGAAGAAAAAGAGAGTTCTCTTTTTAGAAAAAGAACAAAAATGAAAAAAATGAGGAAGATGGCTCTTTAGGGCCGGTTTAAAGGGTATTTATACCCTCACCAAAACGATACTGTTTTGGTGAGGGGTGTCCGTTTAATTTTCCTCATGGGAAAATCATGTGCGCAGTCCTCTTAGTTTGTAAACTTTCCATTTTAGTCACTAAATCAAGTCTATGAATATTCTGATTCGGTCTTTGAATTTTATTTATTTATAATTTAGTCATTAGTCTTAGTATTAATAAATATTTAGGGTAAATACCATTTTAATCCCTTATAATTTAATTAATTTTTATTTTAATCCCTATTAATTAATTATCGATAAATTACACTGTTAGACTCAGATTTTATGATATTTCGAATTAGGGTCTTTACGTTTTACATTTTAATCACTAATTTTTATAATTTTCATTTTGACCATGAATTTTATATATTTTGTAATTTAATTCTATATTTTTAATTTCTTTTATTTTAGTCATTATTTAATTGCAATTTTATTTTATTTTTATAATTGTCCTTTATTTTTCAATACTTTAAATATAGTACTTTAATTATTATTTTTTTATTTTTTTATGTTTTAGTCACTAATATTTACATGAAATACAATATAATTTGAACAATTTCATAATTTGATTAAATAATAATATTTATTTATTTTTAAATACTCAAAAAGGGGTTGTCTTAAAGTAATTAGATGTCATTTTCATATATTTTTAAATAAATAAATACCCTATTTACTTTAATTTTATAAAAATTATTTTAATATATGAAATAATAGGATCATAAATTCAATTCATATTCGAGTTCTTAAATTTCACTAATAG